TACGAGTACTAAAATAGTATTAGGTACTGTTCTTCATATTATTATTCGGGTTAGGACCTGCCTCCTCGCTGTCGCTGTCATGATGCCGATTCGGGGCGGTAAATCGCCTGAAAGAGGGGAGTTTAGGGTTTAGGGTTTCGGGTTTACTTGAGGGGTTCAAGGAAAGAACACCACATTGCATTCTACTTGTCATCGTACTTACTTTACGAAGTACTCCTACTGCCACAGATACTCCTGCCGCATCTGCTACTGCGCTTGATCCTCCTACTATCACTACCACGATTGCCACCACTCAACTACTCCGACCACTACGACTCCACCAGCACTGACCACGACCACGACCACCACGATCACAGCGATCGCTAGGAAGAACACTACGACCACCACACAATGACTACTGCGACCACTAGGACTACGACGACCACTACTACTGCGACGACGACTACTACCACGACGATTGCTACTACTACGACTACGACGACAAATACAACTCCCAGTCCCAGTACGTCTCTCTTACTCCCACTGTCTCATATTCCTGCTAGTATGATAGTCTCTGAGCACAGGGATGCCGCCGGAATGAAGTCGAGGTCTCTGTGCTCTGCAACATTCTGCGACATATCGGTACACTTTAGCCCTGCTTGGGCTCCCTGACTTTCGATGATAGGCTGGCTGACCCGGAACCTTGAATCCAGTACCTACCTTTAGCTTAGAATGCTTAGTCCAAATAATCCCTTCCCTCTTTTATTCAACACCCCCGAAATCACCCCTGCCCTTTAAAACCTATTCTGAGTTAGGGGGGGTTAGGGCAAAGGTTGAGAGTTTAGGGTGAGCCTCCCTGCTTGCCAGCTGTCGGTCTTTTCTTCTCAGCTACGAAGCATGCCTCACACTTTCCTAAATCTGCTGGGCTGACTGCCTGTCTGTCACAGGCCCTCGCTGAGCCTGCCTGTGCGGAGCGGCCGTAACTGTGCCAAAATCTGACAGTAGAGATAAAAATACCCCCTAATAATAAAAGCACTTTCCGAGTATCTATTGGGGGGGGGCCCGCCCCCGTTTAATATTAGGGGGTAGGGATTACTGCTCCTCAACCTTGACGGAGCAGGTGGACCCGGCATGCCCGTCACGAAGACGGTGCCCACCACTTTCGAGCCGATACCGGAGCACGGTCTCGTCGGGACGAGGCAGCCGTCAAACAGTTCGACTTGCGGCCTCTGGCGGGTCGGCTTCGACGGGCCTGTGCTTCGGAGCGCGTACTTGGTGGGAAAAGGGAAACGGCGCAACAAACGGCGTGGGGTGGGATGGAGATGAGGAAAAAGCCTTCCACGATCAGGCTTCGACAGCCAACTCTAAACCCAAAACTCCTAGAACCCTTTAGGCCTTAACCTACAAAACCTCTTACTCAAATTCTATAGCCTCGAAAATGGCCCCGAAACCATCTCAAACCCTACGTGAAACCCAAACGGCCATCCGAAGTCAAAGAATGCCGCGGCCGCCTCAGGAGTGCATGTGGCAGATCGAGGATGGCCTTAGTCCAAGAAATCGCTCTCTCGGGGGACCGGGACTTTAGGGACTTTAGGAGTTAAAGTTTAGGGTTTAGGGTTTTAAGGTTTAGGGCTTAGGGGGTTGTGGGAGTTAAGGTGCAGGAGATTCGACTATGAGGGTGGGGGTGCAGGCGGTTTTGGGAGGCATGGCTTCTTTGGAGGTATCGGTTCCGAAGCATCTCATAGGGTTTAGGGTGTTGGGGTTTGGGGTGTATGTTTGAAGGGTTTACGGAACTGACACAAACCGCCGAATGCAGACTGCCAGCAAATTGGTCCTTATAGGGTTCTATCCACACAAGCTCGTACCATTTTGCGGGTCTTCCAACTGTACATGCAAGGCCTGGTGCAGACATGGGCCAGTCGCCCCAGGATGGCTCGGCATGCGAGAAAAGTCATGTTCACCCCACCTGTGTCCTGTTGCGCTTGCAGTTTAGGGCCTCCTTCATCGAAGGAGGGGCTGGCTTTAGTTTCATCCTCTGCAAGAAAATCTTGCCATGTGAGCATGTGTAGACTCCTTTCTTCGCTTGCTTCCGCCCTGTACTACGACAGCTGTCGCGTTCGTGTGCTTGTTGCTGCTATGTTGTGATTTGCATCCTTGCTTGTAACCTTTACCACAATGAGCTTTGCTAATGTTGCTCTTCCCGCTACGATTTTGCCAACGACTACATTACTCCGACGGCCACTACTGCACCAACCGTTGCAAGAACATAAATCAGCGGCGCTTGGAATGCTGGATTGCCTTCTTCTCGCATCGCCTTGCAACCCTTCGACCCGCTGCAGAAAGGTCTGCTACGAGAAGGGCGGGCAATTGTGCACGCCTAGCCGGCACGCATCGGTCGCTTGCGAACTGCATGCCACGCGAGCATGAGGAGCCATCTATGCTCGTGTCTTAGGGACTCCAGGATGCTGGTTTTAGCAAGCGTAGAACTCAATGAGACCAGACCTTCTGTGTCGGGAGCCTCTCTACTCACGTTCGTGCCATGTTCGCAGGGCTCATGCCACAGACCTACCCGGAGCAGACGGCTGGCCGCACGATGCAGCGGCAGGCGCGAGCCCGGTAGTAAGTGTCGACAATAAGAACAAGAATAATAATAAGACTTAAGAAGATCAACAACCTTGTTAACAGTATAGCAACAATAATAATGACAAAAATGGTTGATAATAAAAACAATGATAAACACAATGACAATGATAGTATATATAGGAATTCTATTAACAGACCAACAACAACAATCATAATCATAATCGGAAACATAGTCATAACAAAAAATCATGCGAATAACAATAGAAACGAATAAGACCCATAATCATCATCATCATCATGACAATAAGAATAGGTACTCCCCTCCTCCGATTAGCAAACCCGCCCCTTTTATGAGAACCTGATTGTCGGAGAGCATTTGGCCCGGAATGCACCCAAAGAGGAATTTTAAAGGGCCAAGACTACTGTGCAATTCGGCACTATTAGGGGGACCCCAGAGATCGCCCAAGGGTAGAGGCTTGGGACCTTGAACAAATTTCTGAACCTGTGTTGAAGCTCGCTCTCTCTCTCTCTCTCTCTCTCTCTCTCTCTCTCTCTCTCTGGCAGAGTTTATGTTTAGCGGTTATCCCGGCATCCGAAACCTCACGACTGCAAGAGCGTGTGTGTACTAAACGTGTGCCCTCTCAAAGATTAGGTTTAGGGGATTATCCCAGATCCGAATCCTTACGATTGCAAGAGCGAGCGTGTACTTACTTGAATTGACTGCGAGAACTGCAGCTGACAGGGGCCGCAGGGATGTAGGACTGCAGGCACTGCCAGGGAAGGGTTTAGAATAGCTACACGAACGCTGTTCATTATGTACCCGCCACCAAAGTGCAGAAGCTAAGACAGGACCCTAATATATCAAAAACATGTCTATGGAAAGCTGATTTTAATATTTGGGGGGAGGGGGCTAAATAATCAGGGGATGGGATTAACAATAACGCGAATAATAACCGTACGATAATAACAATAATACAAAAGTTAAGCAAAATCCCTCATTCTGCAGTAGCCAGTTGGTTTACTTTGCAGAGAACGGGCTCCGCGGAAAGTGCGGCCGCAACGAAAACTGGTGCAAAGTGAGACGCGACCTGGTGACTTCGCCTCACCGGTGATCTTCAACTCCTGTTAGGCATGCCTGGTTTACAAACAAACAGCAGCAGCCATTACCAGCAAGAACTTTCTTAAGGCTTGGGGGAACGTCTTGGCCTACTGCTTCCTATACCCACATGCCCGTACAGCAGAGTGTTGCTGCAGTAAGAGGCCTTCTGCTCTCCTGTCTGTCGCATGCAGGAAGGGTTGTGCGATTTCCAGGACTCTTTGGCCCTGACCCACCCCCACACAGTCAAAACTCACAGCGGCCCCGCCAAAGAAGTTTCCGACGAGCTTCAGGAACCCAGCATAAGAACTCCCAGGAATTTTGACACCTTCTACTTATCAGATTTTCTGTGAGTCCTGAACCTTGACAGGAATTCAAGACAGTGGGCCTTGAGCCCCGTAATTAGGGTACATGCTTGTCTTGGGCCCATATCCTGCATCCGTTTGCTACCATGCTACGGGTTCGCTAAAGACTGCCTGCACGAAGGGCTGGAAGACCACTGTTCAGGTTTTTCTTCCGGGGGTTTTGGTTTTAGCATGTTTAAGATGAGGAGTATAAGACTTCCAAGGGTTGGAAACAACGACTTGGCTTCACGCTGAAGATCTGCGAAAACAGGGTAGCCATGTTCAGCCGCTGCTCGCAGCAAAGCTGGATTCCTCTGGCACCACGAGCTGGCGGACAGCTTCATGCACTAGTGATCCACCACTCCATTCCTAGACTCCCTAGACCCTCGACCCTCTACCGCGCCTAGGCTCGCAGGCACTTGCGAGTTGGAGTTTCGAAGAAGCGAGTCAGGAACCATCCTTGCTGCAGTTGGAAGGTGCGCTGAGTGTGTAGTCGAGATGGCCGGGGAGTACGTGGCGTACCAGGTTGTCCAACAGCTGGAGAAGACTGCAGCTGTGGCTTGATCGCTAACTTTCCGTTCTAGCATGGCAGTGCCCACTCTGAAATCCGGATTCAGATAAGCCTTTTCATGTATTGGGTACAGGATGCGCTGAGATTTAGCAGTGGCGCCTAGCAGGTGGCTTCTTCACGAAAAGCTAAACCCGTTGAGTGAGATGACAGCTAGGCTAGACAAGAGGGATCTGATGAATCTACCAAATGGTCTTTGAATGAAATGGATGGAGATGGTACGTTTGGCTTGTAAGAAGGGCGTCAATGATTAGAATAGGGCTTTGGATATTTTTGGGACGATTAATTAGGACTTTGAGGGCTTTTGAAACGATCTCCGCTAGCCGATGCTGTGTACCATGACTCTCACGACATCCTGTATGAACCCCTGTAAACCCGCTCACAAAACCCTATGACACCCTTGCTTAAGGCTCTTCCGTGACCAAGGCTCCGAAGAACAGGGCCAAGAGGAAACATGTGCCAAGCAGCCACCTGGACTTTGGCGGAAAATCGCGGCTGACTGATACCCTGCGCTCGTATTAGGGATCCCTTTTCGGTGCCGCATGAGAGGGCAAGTGCTGCATTCGAGCTCGAGGCACCTACACGCCTCAACAGCTCTATGAGAATCTGTGGACACAAAACTACTAAATTACGTGTCCAAAACTCTTACACACAAGTTCTGGCGGCAAAGTTCTCTTTGCACAAGGCTTCACTGCTTCACGCATTAGAATGCTTAACGCTTCACAGGAGGGTCGCTCCACCGAGGTCCTCGAACCATTCAAGCAGCGGAAAGTGTAGTGTCAGGGATTTTGGAAGCCCAAACAAGGCTGGTGTGACAGTCCAAGCTCTGCTCCCAGCCCCCAAACAGATAAACCCATAAAGCCGTATACGATTTAATGAACTTAAGCTAGAGACCTTTTTTCCTTTTCGAGGCGTTTAACCCGAATTCCATGCACCCCTGAAGCCACGGGGCCATGGCGTCGCCGAATACATGGGTGTCGGATCCTTCGGGGGGAAGAGGCGAGCGCCTTGGTTGTCTCCATGCTTGGTTTCGGGCTTAGGATGGTTTAGGGCTGCGGCTAGGGCCTCAGAGCGTGCGATGGTTTTGACCAAATTGATTCGCAGAGTTCAGGTACGGAGAACATCCAGACTATCAAGAGCCTAAGGAGTTTGCACAACGCCCGTAACATTCACAATAATGATCAATCGCCGAGGCCTTAGCAATACTGTTGGTACTGCCGCTAACAAGGCTACAACAATTACCTGGTGTTGCTCATGCTGGTCTCATCAATGTATGAAACGATCGTAGGAGAAGCTCTCAAACACGGATGCTGGTTGACCAACAACCTATTGTGATCTGTGTGGCCAGTAGCATGCCAGATTTCGACCGCCCATACTGCCAGTTGACCGGATTGAGGTTTTGCCTGGCGATGTTCGCATGGCCGGCAGCCGCATTTGTATGGCAACACAAGAAGATTGTTGCATCGTATCGTCCGTCTGGAAGTCACAATAGCCACGATGGAACCTAAACTAGAGGCCCAGTATAGAACAGCCACCCGCACACGACATGGGAGAAAGGGCTTCCAGGATTGCACCTGAGGCTGGTTTTCATGGTCCTCGCAGTCACTTCTCGGGACCGGGTGCTAATCAACCAGGAGAATCGAAACCACGTTATACAGTATATAATATATACTGCATATTATATACTATGTCGTCTATACTATGTTACGATGTGCTATACACTATATACTATACACTGAATACTATATCCGGAATGGGGGGCCGTTCAGGGTCATTTGCCAGCAAGGTTGCCTCACAATCATGATGTCCATTTGGTGATTCTGTGGTTGCTAGAAATCAGTTCAATCACGAATTGCGGAGATAATGCGTGAACGAAGATCTCAAAGTATCTTTCCGTTTGCATTGCGGAGGTCCGTTCCCTTCCCACTTTCTTCTAGGGCGCAGAGGCTGGTACCCAGGCCCAGCACCATGAAGTGCACCATGTAGAAGGCCATGGCTATGTCTCCTTTGCGAGCCCAACAAAACAGACGTGGCATTTGGCTCGTGTGCTTGGTCGCTTTGGCCCCCGGGGCGAGGAACGACACACAACAAATGCAATTGTGATCTTGATAGCGACATTGGAACTGCCTGCATCAGGTTTGCTCTCAAATATGCAGCCTCAGTACGTGCCCGATTTGAGGGTCAGAACATCCAGACAAGTCACCCATGAACTCCATCGGCTTGCTTCGGCAAAGCTTTGCCAGAGGTCCATTGTTACCGCACTGCGTCAATGCCCTCGGCAAGGTTTGCAGCTTCTCGCTCGAATCTTTGAAAGAAGCACAGAGAATAGCGAGCCGTCACCATGTTGCGAAAGGAAGTGTTGTCTTCAATCTCTTCCGGAGCTGCGCTCAGGCAGGACTAGGCTTCCTAGTGACAGGTCCAAACTCTATACCCTAAACCCCAAAGGCACTGGTGCTTGCATTTGACTCTTCGCTGAATGGAAGTCTTCAGCCCTCCGAAGCTACGTATTCCGTCCCGCGGCAGGATCAAGTCGATGAAAAGCAGGGGGACGAATGCCTGGCATCGTGGGATACGGGAATAGCTTTGTGCAGTAAGCAGGGGAGATTGGGAACAAGACTTGTAGCGTCGAAACCCGAGAGGCTAGGCTTCGGATGAATAATCTGCTGTGAGTTCTGCTTCGCGGAAAACCCCCTGACCCCCCAAGCTTTCATTCAGCAAAGACTGAACAAGAAACCACAGAAGCTCCACCGTAAACGACTCCTTCCCCTCGACGCAGAAACCCAAATGTGCCTCCCAGCTTGCACGGACCAAGCCCTCGCGGAGTTGCAGCAACCGGAAATCCTTCAACGGTACCTGGGAAACTACTACCATGGTCTTTCGTTACCTACTCGCAGGTACTATAGCACGGTGACACGTTCAACTCCTGGCCCAAATCTGCGGCTGGTTAGCTCAGAATGCTTCTGACTGTCACTGAAGAAAGAGAGAAGTCTCCTCAAGACAAAGGCATGCAAGATGACAAAAGCTTCTAGAAAAGTTTATGGTCAGACGTGTGTAAAGCTGCCTCTTGTTTTGCATTGATTTCACAATGGTCAGAAGATCAAGACTGCTCTTTGCAGCAGCAGATGTGCCAGCACACGACTGTACTGAGGCAACCTCTTTTGGGGAACGCCTGTCAAAAGTCAAGCACAAGGCTTTTAAAGACAGGGGGGATGCAGTGAAACAGTTGCATACTCATATGGCCCGGCATCCGCTACGGGAACGAAAGGCCAGAAGAGTGACGACAGTCGCGACAATGCCAGCAGCTGTGGCACCTGCTGGTGATGTTGGCAGGAGGCGGTTGACGAGCAGGCTGCCTCCACCCAAGAGAATCAGAGCCACCAAGAAGATGGCCATGGTAACAAGGCCATCGCCGACCCGTGTTGATCCACGGGAAGCCCATCTGCTGCAGAGACTCCACATGACTTTGATGCACAACATGAGCCAAAACATCGTTATGCCAAGCCCTAAGCTCGTGAACTCAGCCAGCACAACCTCGAAGGGTGCCCCAGCACGGATCATGGCTACACAAACATCTACGGCCATGCAAAATGGGCTGATAACTATGAGCAGCGCGTAGCTCAATGGCAGGTCCACTCCGGAATCTGCCATGAGCTCCTGCCTCAAGGGGCCACGCACGTAGTCTACGAAGGCTTCCTCACTGCCATACCAAGCAGCGATGGCAAGGTGTACGAAAGCCCTGTCAGCCGCAGAGTGGCATTGCACGTTTAGCAGGTCGAAAGTCTCCAGCGATTCGGTAAGTTCTTTCTCCTCTCTCATGAACCTTCGGTTGGCGTGTATAAAGGGCACCATGGGCAACAAGGAAAGATTCGCAAGAGCCACTATGCCATGGCCGGTTCTCACCGCGATATATATTGCGCTGCAGAGACCGCTAGCCAGCGTCAGAAGCAGGATCTGGCTTTCGACGAAGAGCGGCTTCAGCTTTAAAGGCTTGTGTGGGTTTGCCTTGCGAAATGCGGCCAACTCGAAAACGCACCAAAGACCTCAAGCTCGTTTTGCAAAGAGCTGCGGATCAATCATCAAACAGACGTGAACATGGATGCACAGCAAGTCACCAAGAAGCACGACACTCCTTACTCGTATCCCTGGGGCTTTGATACCCAACTCCTGATGAGGGTTTGGAAACCGACAGCCCTAAAAAATGCTATTCGTTAAGTTTAGCACAACTAGCAGCTTCTCGTAGCTGGATCTATACCTTCTGTCTGCAGCCGAGGAGCGGGTCAGGTACGGCGGCGACCATAGAACATGCATCTCCTTCGAGATACCCAGGAAGCCTCCCAGCCCGTACACCCCGCGCTGCTTCATTCTCCTGTCTGTCTGATGAATGCTGACCACATCGAGAAAACATATCGGTGAATAAGATGCGCGGCTGCAGTACGGAAGTATGAACATAGAAATATGCAATACCAGTGTGCCGGTCAGGTGAGTCCACGGAGAGAAAGGACACATAGCCTTGAAGCCCAGCACATGCACGGGCCAGGTCAAGGGTGTTGTTGGAAGCAAACCCATAGCACTCAGGATACATACCACTGATGCACAACAAAGGCTGTGTATCAGTAAGGTTCGCCAACCGTGCTGGAACAACAGTGAGAGCACCTTCCTGCTGCCTCGTGTCCTCCAGGTATGCGAAAAAAACACATCGAACTTGTCAACGGGCTGCGACATGTCCCATAGCTTCGTCTGAGACTCCAAGTCCAGTTCTAAAGGTGAAGTACTCCACAGCTTGCCGAAGTTTCGGAGGGTGACGACCAGCGGGATCCCCCGCACGAGTTCCCTCTCCACCTTGAAGCTGATGGCGCGTTGGACCATTGGCAAGTCCGAGCTCCACTGCGGAGACACGGACAATGTCAACAGCTCTGAGCTCAATGAGCTCCTCACCGACACTCGGGGAGGAAGAATGTCATCAGGAAGTACCACCTCTAAACCTGACTCAATAGACTCATCCACGGATGAGCGTGGTGACGACGGCTCTGGAAAGCAATACTTGTCGTCATACTGCGCAGCGCCAACGACCTCCACGGGCAACGTGCCCACCTGCTCTTCACAGCAAGCGCTGGCACTGGCGTTCGCACCCATGGCAAGGTTAGGAGGGCTGCCGATATGGCATGTGGCAGCTGTGCCGAGGAACAGACTTGAGATGCACTGAGTGTGCGAGGACTATCAACCCAAAACTGTGTCCCACAGCATTCCGGCCGCTCTAGTTCAGTTCTGCGAGCCAAGGACGGACGTCGGAATTCTCACATCTGGTTACCACAGTGACTTTTAATTCAAGCTCCTTCAGCCCCTACACAGCCCGTGTCTCAGAGACTACAAGATCTGTACGTCGATCCTTGGAAGCCAAGCTGCAGAGTTGATTGTAATACCTAAAGCCAGCACAAGGAGGTACCCGACGCCCAAGGCAGTGGCGCGCCATCCCCACCTGGAGTGCAAAGGGACTGCAAGGGCTTAGCGTCATGAGCAGGACGAAGTTTCGAGCTTATGGTATAGATGTGGTGTTTGTTGCAGTTGCAGGGCCGCTGTTTCAACTGCTGCTAGTAGCCCAGAACTCCGTTACCCCGAGGAGCCTGCTTGCTTATTGAAGCCTGGTTTTGATAGTTTAGAAGGGCTTAGGGTTTAGGGCTTCGGCAGAGCTTGAGTCGTATGAGCTCAGGCCCGAAGGTGAGCGAGGGCTGCGTGCTGAAAAAGAGGCGGTGCCTCAACGATTCTTGGTTTTACGGTTTCGGGAGCATCAACGATTGCTTGCAACCCTGCCTCCCGACATCAACCTCAATACCAGTAAGGTCCTGATGTGTGCGGAACGTGACTCCCGAAACCCAATGCGATTGTCAGTTGTCCAGACTGTGGACTGTAGACTTTGATCATCCATACATTAAAGCAGCTCAAGCCACGAGGCCCTATATAAGTCAAATAGCCGCCCCCAACTCTATTCAAAGTCAAGGCCCTGCGAGCAAAACTTGCAGGGTCGTACTGCTGCAGAGGGCCTCGCACCCTCCGACTCTGCAGAACAGCGCCGGGGAAGGCGGCAAAGAGCGGTCAGGTGACCTGGCTGCAAAGTCATTTCAGCCATTCTGTTTTGAGGGTCGTGCCAGGCGATACACGAAGTACCTATGGTCGGGGTCCTCGTCATCGTCCTCGTCTCCTCCTCGTCCACGTCGTCGTCGTCGTCGTCGTCGTCGTCGTCAGCATCAGCGTCAGGTGCGACGACGACGACAACGACAACAACGCCAACAACACCGCCAACAACAACAACAACAGCAGCAGCAGCAGCAACCACTACAATCACTACAACCAAAACCACAACCCCAACCCATCCCAACCCCAGCCGCAACGGCAACCGCAGCCGCACCCCACCAGCAGCAACGCCACCGCCACCGCCACCGCCACCACCACCACCACCGCCGCCACCACCACCACCACCACCACCACAACTACCGCAACTACCGCAACTACAGCAACCACGGCAACTACAGCAACCACGGCACCCGTACCACGAGGACGAGGACGAAGATGAGGAATGATGAGGACGAGCACCAGGACCAGGACCAGAACCACGACAGACACGACGAGAACAACAACAGACTGCAGCAACCGGATTAAGCACACAAGAATCACAGCACATGACGGGGACAGCAAGAGAGATACCACGATGATGATAAGTACAACGACAATGCATTGCCTCCGCCATGGATCCGCTCCACAGCTGCCAGGCAACCCATTGCGAAGACTGGGATCCGGCCTGGGCTGGGAATTTAGGAACCTTGGGCTTTTGGGATTCCGGGGGCTTGCTGCATTCTGGCGGACAGAAATCCTTCGACTCTTCCGGTTGAGGTTCTGGTCAGCATCAGCAGCCCTATCGCCTCTGCCGCTCCACAAGAGCCCACGGCCAGCTCTCCTACATTTCTTTCGCCTGGGCCGATAGGAAGCCCCGATGCCCGAAGCCTCCAACCGAAGATCAACTCAACGAACTCACCCCATAAACACCCTGAACCCCAAAGCCCAACATGTCACGAACCACAGCAGGCTAGGGGCTCAACGGCCAAGCTCTGGCACTCCAGTAGGCCCATTCGAAGTTGTTCATCCAAAAGAGGCCGATGCAGACCTCAAATGCAGATCCCAGAGTGCAGAAAACCGCTTGGTTGTGCTGAATCCTTTGGGCCTTCACTTCTACCCGGTCACCTTGTTCCACTTGTCTTTGTCGGTTCGATCTGGCTTCTCTTGAAGTAGAGGCATCCTTCTGACGATCCCATCAGCGGTGAACATTCGTAATACATGATGTTGGAATCTATTGTGGTGTATTCTATTCTACCGCGCATATTCTACTGTTATATTGTATAGTATAAGGTTCTGCTGCATTATACTACACTATACTGTATTACATTGCAGTACATTGTATTATATGGTGCCATATCACACTATGTTACATTATGTCAGCTTTATTTTGTTACGTTATTTTGTAGTATGCTAGATAATGTTATATCATGTTATGCTATACTGTATAAGGTCTATGATCTTATGTTCGTTTATGAAACTTTTATATTATAGCTGTAGGAGGGGGTTCTACACCTAGGCATCAGCTAAGATCACCTTGGCGCGGTCTTGTTTTTCAGCAAGCGGCAAGGGACATGAAGGTCACGGCCTGGAGCCAGAAGAGTAGGTGCACCATCAGACGTCGTCGCTGGACATTCTGCAGCCATGAGAGCATGCTCGGGAAGACGATGTAGAAGACGGCCATGGTTTGCACCTCAGAGTAGCCGACTTCTGCCGATCAGAAATCGACTCAGACCCAATGAACAACGGGAGTACCTGAGTTCCGCGCTGTCCAGGTCACGAAGTTGCTTGGTAGCTCTATTTGAGACTCGGACGGAAGCCAGACCTGGGCTTCGTTTCATGCCGATTCCGGCGCTAGGAGCCAGCGTTTTGGGGGGTCCTGTGTAGATCCAAAACCCAAAATGGCCTAAAATCCTATACCGAAGCATCGGGGCTTTTTGGGGCCTCTTCTTGAAAGTTCTCGTGGGCTTTGTTGGATCCAGCCAGCAAAATGACACATAGGGCTGGCATAGGATAGCTACTATGAGGGTTACTATACTACTATGAGGGCTATTAAAAGGGATCCTACATCAATCAATGCTTTGGCGTCCCATGATGTCGCCCCCCATCGACAAAACGGATCCTTCCTACGAAAAACGAACACTGTGTCTTTCAGTCTCATCTGCAGATTTCCGCTCTTCGCTTCCGAGGCGCAGTGATGGGAAAGACCCACATGTTGAGGCCCAGAGCCGTCAGCACCAAGTTGAAGTCCCAGTATGGCGATGAGAGGAAGGACAACGATCCGCCATGCCCATTTGCCTGCTACCGCCACTCTTCGGGAACAGGCAGCATGACAGGAAGTAAAATATCAGAAACTCATCAGTGGAGTATACTGACACGGTAATGAGGTTCGAGCGATGCTGGGGGTATCAGAGCAGACAGTTCTCCCAATATCGCCTTGATAAAGATGCGCTGCATCATGAAGAAAAGAGCATTGGTCAGCACGTACATCGGGAAAAGCCTGCTTCGGGCACTGGCAGATCGGTTTAAATCCTGCTCTTCCAAGGCAAATGGCAACCAGAAAGAACTCCGGTAGGTACATTAATCGTCATGCCTTGCAAATCGGTTGCGCCAGAAGCGGCTCTTGTTGAAGTCGGCAATCCGGCTGCTTTCACCACCCTGCGGTGGACAACCCTGCAGACACCTCTACCCGGAACCACGAAGTCGCAAGGTGCACCTAGACCCAGCTGCCCTCTGAAACCCAAACTAATAGCCAATAATTGAGGGCAAAACAGGTACCTTGCAGGTCCCTTTAATATGTATATATATAGAGAGAGAGAGAGAAAGAGAGAGAGAGAGAGAGAGTATATATATATATGTATATATTAACATATTCTCTCTATATATATATATATATTTATATATATATATATATAGACGCTGTAGGGCTCAAGGAGCCGACATCTCTCAAAAACAGACATAGTGCCAATGAGGCTGAAGCGCAGCGACCAGGTCCTTCGCATAACCAAGAGTCATGACGAAGCCGGAGAGCAGGTAGAAAAAGCCTCCAGTGGGGGGGGCAAGCAAGAAACTACCTGTTGATTGATGAACTGCACCGCCCTCCAGATCTCTTCAGCTGTACTACCCAAACCCTTGCCAAAACAAGCTGGGCCAAGTATGCTGCACATCACATGCGGCAACCCCACACTTGTCCCAAAACCTCGGAACAGGCGATCCAAAAAGCGGTAGACAAGAGGATCCAGGACCTCGCTCATGCCTAAGCCCGCAACACCCACTCCCAGCAAAGTGTCTCATGGATGCACCACCGATCAAGTCCACGTGGAGCGGAGAACCGGCGATGTAGTGGCCGAAAGCCACGTGTCTCGGCTGGGCCAGGTTTCTATGGCTTGATGGGTTTAGGGTTCATTGAGGTTGTTATGTCCACTCTGCGCAAGTTGACGGAACACAGGCCTCTGTGTGGCTGTGGCTGAGGCATACTGAGGCACACACTGCTTTAAATTGATTTAATGGGGCCCACGCACGCAAGCCCAGACGAAACACCCGCACTTGCTTGAGGACCTGCACCTGTTGACACTCACTTTCCTTGTTGTCATGCTGGGGGTCTGCAACTGGACTGAGTGGGTGGATGAGTGAGCAAAAAGGGGGCAGTACTTGAGTCCACCAGGATCACAGTAAAAAAATACTAGCTCGACTGTGGTTGGAGGGCGCACACACATACACGAATTCCTGTGTACAGTCATATATATATATATATTATACATGTCTTTACTTATTTACATGCTTATTTATTCGCTATTGTCTTTGTTTACTTATTTAGTTAGGTTAGCTAGGTTAGTTAGTGAGTTAGTGAGTGAGTCGGTTAGTCAGTTAGTCAGTTAGTCAGTTAGTCAGTTAGTCAGTTAGTCAGTTAGTTAGTTAGTCAGTCAGTCAGTCAGTCAGTCAGTCAGTCAGTCAGTCAGTCAGTCAGTCAGTCAGTCAGTCAGTTAGCTGGTTAGTTAGCTATGTAGTTATCTACTTCTTGTTCGGTTGCTTGTGCATATATATATACACACATACAGGTACATACATTCATGCATGCATGCATGCATGCATACACACACACATACATACATACATACATACATACATACATACGTACATACGTCCATGCATGCATACATACAT